CTCTCTTAGATGGCTGATGAATGAGAAAGTTAAGCTGAACAAGTTTAAGTAATTTTTCCCAGGGTCTCCCACTCAGATCTTGATTCAGGTTCAGTTTGAAGCCAAATCTTATGTCTCCCGAAATACTTTATACTTCAACTTAGAGCAAAGACCTCCAAAACATATTGTCAAGGAACAGAGTTTGTCCATGTGCCTGGTAAGTGCTGTTGAGATAGAAAGAAGGGAAAGGACATCGAGTTGAGTTAATTAGGAAAAGTAAAACTGTATGAGCCAAAGTGGAGGCAGGAGTGGTATAGCAGGGGTGTGACAGCCTGGAACTCAGCTCTGGCGCCAGTGGAATGGCTATGCTTTCCATAGCTGAGAAAGCATCGTAGAAGAAGAGGAAGAGGGTGTGTGTGTGTGTGTGTGTGTGTGTAGTGATTTGTGCATCTAGAGTGGACTCTGTGGAAGCTCCCCTCACAGCTTTCTGGTGACCTCCATGAGGAAACAGAAAAGGTAGCAGGTGAGCAGAGGACACAGAAGGACACAGAGGACACAAAAAAGGTGGCATGGGGCTCTGGGCTGTCTGCAGTTCTGTCTGTGCTCACCTCTAGGGGTTACATCTCTGTAACCCCTCACTAAGCAATGCTATGGACAAAACATTCTAAACCAGAAAATGGCCCGCCTGGGGGTTACAGCTGCCTTACTAAGTTTTACTGCCTCCCTGTGGATTCTGTTACTCAGGCAGAAGTTGATTATTAAAAAGGTTGAATACAAGTGATTCAAATAAGTCAGTGATTTTTCACAGGGTACATATGGATGTCGCTTAAGATTGGGCAAGACCTTTCTCTAGAAACCATCTTTTCATCTTCTAGTCCTAAAACTTACACATTTTCACTATATAGTTTGGGGAGAATAACCAAGAACTCTATGCTTTCAGAATGTTAAGGGGACTCTTGCTTTTTTTTTTTTTTTGAGACAGAGTTTTGCTCTGTCACTCAGGCTGGAGTGCAATGGTGTGATCTTGCAACCTCCACCTTCCAGGTTCAAGCAATTCTCCTGCCTCTCAAGTAGCTGGGATTATAGGCGCCCACCATCATGCCAGGTTAATTTTTGTATTTTAATAGAGATGGGATTTCACCATGTTGTCCAGGCTGGTTTGAACTCCTGACCTCAGGTGATCCACCTGCCTTGGCCTCCCAAGGTGCTGTGATTACAGGCATGAACCACTGTACCTGGCCTGAGGAGACTCTTTTGAATTAGTTGCAGATGCAGCCTGAATATCTTCTTTCCCTTTCAACAGAGTTTCAAGGCTGGTTTGGTTCAGGTTTATCTGAGTATAAACAAAGGATATGCATAGTCACTGTTATTTAAGCTCTGTCATGAAACATTATTAGTCAATCGAACATTGTGGCATCAAGTTGCCTTAGAGCTGAAAAAGTCAGAGGGGACCTAATTATTGTTTTCAATAATCATTTTCTCGTTCACATATTTGGAGATACCACAGCACTTAAACTTCAAATGCTTCTACCTCAATGCATAAACAAAGTACCACATCTTCAACATGTGTACACACACTCGCATACACACACAAACACATACAACACACACAATGAAAACACCTGTTCTTCAACGTGTCTGCAAAAGAGAATACCAGGAGTTTTGAGAACAAGATCTGAAACATCTTTCCAGTTGTCCGTGATTTAGGAAAGTCTTGTACTTTGTAGAAGACCCTGAAATTCTGGAGCTCTTGGAAGACCTGGCCAAAGGATCCAAGTTTCTGGATTTCTTATCGGGCATTCCAGTCCCTATGTTCTGCTGTGGCAAGGCTGGGTAGTGTGTGAGATTGTGATGTTCAAAAATAGAAATAAGAGAGAGAAACTTTCAGCGACTGAACACTAGCATTTAGGATCCTTGTGGGAAAGGGGAAATATTATGGTATAGTCAATTATAATGCCAACTTCTTCAGTCTTTATTTACTTGGGAAAGATTTTAGAGATGTGGTCTTAATTCCAGTTGAAACTATTCTTTCATGTTTAGAGGAGACTGGATGTTGACAAATTTCTTTCCATTTGTTCGGAAGATTTATTTTTAGTTTAAAATCCTAGCGTATCAGTAACGATGCAAAAGAATAAACACGATTATTCTGTGTTACTAGAACATATTGGTGTTTAATGTGATTTCGATACTTTCCTCTTCCCATTTACGAGCAACTGTGAGAAAACCTTCTGATAGAAATGTTTAGTCATTTAGTTTATTTCATTTGGCAATAATTCACACATTTTTAAAAAGTGAAGATTCATGCTACTGTAATTGCACCCTGGGGCCACTAATTTGGATGCCTAAAGCTCAGGCTGCCCTGGCAAATCGAAGTCTTGACATCACATGCCTTTATTGGCTAGTATGCCATTTTTGGGTGTTGGCATCTGTTTTCTTCTCTAAGGTTTCTGTTCCCCCTGAACATGGAATATTGTCAACACAGGCCTTAGTCCAGAAGGCCAGCTGTTAAGCTGGGATAACAAGGAGTTCTCTGGAGCACCAGTGCCTCTGTAGCAATTCTGAAGCTTTTCTTTTTTAAATGCAGGATTTGAGAAAATCTCCAGCCATCTCCAATTACTCCAAGTAAAGGATTCTAATGAAGTCACCATGGGTAATGAGGCTCAGCCCCACAGGTCCTCTCCTGAGGGGGACTGATTCTGCCGCCCGGTTGTTAGTTGTGTGACTTCTGTCTTTGTCTTTCGTGTCTGCAGGGAAAGGTGCTGTGAGAAGGAGGCGAGCTTCACCTTGGCAAAGTCTCTCCCAGTGAAATGAATACAAACATCTAATGTCAGGATCCCCCTCTGGTTCCACACATTCAGCATGTTTGACACTGTTAGCAGCCATGGGTGCAGGCCCAGAGGACATCAGCAAGTAGATTAAAATATCCTTTTGTGCTGGGAGATGAGGCCTGTGTCTCGGTGGGCAGAGGCAGGAACAGGCAAGGAAGCATTGATTTCAGACAGATGCTGCAGAACTCGCCTTTCATGGTGTGTCTGTGGGTATATGAATTATTAATATATTAAGTGGGTTTTGTCTTCTTTTAATTTCCCCTCTCAGATTCCAAAAAGCGAACAGGGCATTTGTGCCCACTTGCAAAAAGGCCAGAAAACTTGGTGTTGGAAAACAACTTCTTTTTCTTCTGTTGGGTTTTGCAATGATTAGCTTATTGAGGAGATTCAAGGAGGAGAAGCAGGAAAGAGAGAGGTGTGCGTCTTCTGGGGCAGGTGGTGAGTGTGTGGGAAGTGGAGAGGGCAGAGAGGTCTGAATCTAGGCACCAGATCTCCAAGGTTGACAAGGTTTTCTGTGCCTGTGTAAAACAGTAGGATGATGTGTCTTCAGGAGACTGCAGGCTTGGACAAGGAGGCCATCAGTGGTGACTGGAATAGATAGAAGGGAAGGCTTGTGGTTCTGCATGGTGGCTCATGTCTACAATCCCGGCACTTTGGGAGGCTGAGGCAGGTGGATTGCCTGAAGTCAGGAGTTTGAGACCAGCCTGGCCAAAATGGTGAAACCTTTTGTCTCTACTAAAAATACAAAAATTAGCTGGGTGTGGTTGTGTGTGCCTGTGGTCCTAGCTACTCAGGAGGCTAAGGCAGGAGAATTGCTTGAACCTAGGAGGTATAGGTTGCGGTAAGCCAAGATTGTGCTACCGCACTCCAGCCTGGGTGATAGACGGAGACTCCATCTCAAAAAAAAAGAAGAGAAGGGTGAAGGTGTTCCTGAACATTTGCTCCGTCGAAGCTACTGGGGTCTTTTCATCACTGTGGGGAAGAAGAAACATTCCTAATGATGACTGATAGTCTCAGAATCAGATTGAATTTGATTTAAAGGAGATAAAGAGAGTAACTTTGACATGTGTTAAAGTCTGTGGAATCAAATTCATCCCTGCTGCCCGTCTAACTGCACAAGGAGAGGACCTGAAGGTCCGTGACATTAGCCCAACTGCAGAGCTGGAACTTGATTCTTGCAACAAGTTTTTAGTTGAAGAAACCTAACAGACAAGGAGTATGAGGAGTGTTACTTTGTTTATGACAAAGAAATTACATTGTCGTTAATACTGCAGGTCACTGCTTTGAGGGGGAAAATCCTTGTTTTATTTTAAGATTCTTAGTAGGGTTTATTCTGAGGCATAGAAAACTCAGGAGAGTTGGACCTTCCAGACAAATGCATTTGCCTTGACGAAACACATTTGCAATAGCTCTCCAACAATGGCCTAGAGACTACTCACAATTCACATTGGACTTTAAAAAAATATATTTTTTATCCTGTTTTGAAAATGGACCAGGTTTGGGGCACTAATTCACAGAGCTACCACACCCACTTTTTCTGCCCAGAGAGTGAGGAGAAAGAATGGGTCAATCAGCTGACATATTTCCATCCAATTTCAAGGATAGAATGTGTTCATTTTCTGACTAATGGCATGTCATTTTGCAGAAGCCTTTGGTCGGGAATTAATCCTGGAATCAAAACAGATTTTCCGGGGAGCAATCTTCCATCAAGTATTGATTTTTTTACACTCATGGAGTCTGTACTCCCTAATTTAACCTGACAATGATTCTGCACAATGGCCTGGGAGCACCTTGGCAGCTCGCTGAAGGAACTTTTACTGTCTTTTCTTTCTGCGAAGTAGAAGGGAAAAAAACAGCCTGGCTAGTCCAGTCAGTCACTGGGGGGCATTTATGACTTGATACTTTACTTTTGGTGATTTGGAATGAGCAGAAAGCTGCCTCCTAACTTTTAAAGCAATGCTGGGAGGGAAAGCTTTGCTTTGCTGAGACTCTGTTCAAAGGAACATTTTTAAAGAACTGTCAATATTAAACAAATCTGCAATATATTGTTCAGTTATGGCCAATGTTTTCAAGTGATACCATCTTACTGTGCCCACCAAACATGAGAAAATGGGGAAGTGTTTTCTAAAGAGAGGCTTTTGCTTTTGAATTTCAATAAAAGTTCTTTTTATTTTTTTTTCCTGTTTTTTTCAGAGACACTTTGGATCCATTCTGATTCTTGTGAACTCAGCAAACATTCTTAAACTGTGCTGAATATGACAAAGCCTCTACTTCAAGGAACATAGGGTTAGCAAAGTATGGATGAAACAAGCACATTCCATCTATGACAGAACATAAATTATGAAAAACATAGGTGTGAGCCACTGGGGTGGTGAGACCTGCGAGCATTTCCCAATTTCCCTTGCAAGTAGATTGGGAACATGTGACCAGCTTTGGCCAATCAATGAACTATGAATGGAAGACATAGGAGTCACTTTTAGGTGGAGGCAGTTGTCCTTTCATCTGTTCTCTTCCCCTGCCACAGTGACAAGATAGAGGACAACGTTGTTCTCTGAAGTCCAAATTGGGCTTTGGTAAGCGAAATAAACTTTCACACTACAGAACTCCTAAGAAGGCTGTGTGCAGTGGCTCATGTCTGTAATCCCAGCACTTTGGGAGGCCAAGATAGGTGGATCACCTGGGGTCAGGAGAAACCCTGTCTCTACTAAACCTTGTCTCTACTAAAAATACAATAATTATCTGGGTAGTGGGGACCTGTATTCCCAGCTACTCAGGAGGCTGAGGCAGGAGAATCACTTGAACCCGGGAAGTGGAGGTTGCAGTGAGCTGAGATCGCACCATTGCACTCCAGCCTGGGAGACAAGAGCAAAACTCAATCTGAAAACAAAAAACAAAAAAAACTCCTAAGAAATCTAGGCCTGTTTAATATTACAACATTGGTTAGCCAAACCAATACAGATAGGTAGGATTACATAATGAGGAGTGAGGCCAAAATCGAGAGAAATGTAATTAAGAAGACAAGAATTTTGATGAACCCAGGAGCACTGAGCTCAGAAAAGAGTAGTGCTTAAGCAGCTCATAGAAAGCAGGGGTGAGTTTTCACTGAGGTTGAATTATCTTCTACTTACTGAGATATTGTTTGGAAACACGGCATGCACATTTATTACTGATGGAAAACAGAATCAATACTCTGGCTGAATAATGCATTAAGCAGTCTGAGTGGGTCCCTGAGTCATGGGCACCCTAACAGATCAGTGTGGCTTAGAGGTCGTGTCCTCTGGGTTCTGTATCTCCAACCTATTAAGAATAATATTACTATTAGTGCATTAATTTAGACATTTGGAGAGACAGGAGAAGTGGGAGTAGAATTTTGGTCCTTGAAGAACTTGTGGGCAGGGAAGGAAAATTGCAAGCACTGTATAGAGTGAGGAAAAAAGGCAAGTGAGGAGTGATCATTATGGGCAGTGGCAGGTCAGAGGAGACTTTCTGGGACCTGAGAGCTGGGTCCTAGAGGGAGCAAGAGTTATAGACTGGTAAAGAGGAGGTAGACAGGTCATCCCACTGAAGTGAGCAAAGGACTGAGTGCTCACATCTGAGTTGCTGATGAACAGAACTCATGAAGAGTTTGTGCGAATGCAATCCCAAATGTTCTGATCAAAGGGAAAGGAGTGGATCTAAGGGAGGGAAGAGAGGCAAATTCTCCTAACATTTTCCTTTTATTAGTCGTTCCTTGTTGACCTGGAGCTCTTATGAAACATGGCCTGTGGTTGGCCATGGCCGTGCTGCACCTTGAAGAGTGGTCATCCTGCCCTTTAGATTTAAGTCTTTTTCTTTCTCCCCATTGGTTATACATCAGGTTGTTATTGTTGGTGACAATCACAAAATTAGTCCATTAGGCCAACTGCACATCTGAACCAAGCCAAAAAGGCGGCCTTACCAACACATTGGGTTGCTGCCTGGTGCTGTGACCCCATGAGCATTAGTTTCTTCATACGTAAAGTTAGAATTAAATTAAATATGATTTTTTTTGAGATGGAGTCTTGCTCTGTTGCCCAGGCTGGAGTGCAATGGTGCAGTCTTGGCTCATTGTGACCTCTGCCTCCCAGGTTCAAGCAATTCTCCTGCCTCAGCCTTCCAAGGAGCTGGTACTACAAGTGCACGCCACCACACCTGGCTTATTTTTTGTTTTTTAGTAGAGATGGGGTTTCACTGTGTTGTCCAGCCTGGTTTCAAACTCCTGAGCTCAGGCAATCCACCTGCCTCAGCCTCCCAAAGTGGTGGGATTATAGGCGCGAGCCACCGCTCCCAGCCCTAAATGAGATAATTTTTATACAACAATTAGTTTGTAATTGGCCTTTGGTAGATTCCTAATCATCAGTAACATTATTGTCACCAATCTATGTTTTTTATCACTAAATCAGAATGCATTTGTGATTATATAAAAAGCTCTTTTGGTGGGTGATAAAAAATGAAAACTGACTTTGTTTTAAGCTATTTCAGGCCATGTTTATTTGTCCTGTTGGAAATCCAAAGTTCCAAATGGTTGAGGACGAAGTCATTGCTAATATTAATGTTGCTTTTTAACAATTCACTTTCTTTTTTTCCCTTGCTTTCTTCTGTCATCAGAATAAAGGAGTTATCCATATGTTTCACGAATGATCAATGAATATACAAATTTATGATTAATAATTTTTTGGAAATTGCAGATTTTCAAAAGTGGGCAAAACACTTCAATACATCAATTATTATTTTGAAAATTCTTGGAAATCTTCATCTTCCTGTCTTAGTGCCTTCAGAATGGAAAACTGTTCAGTTCTTTCACCTCTTGGGGAAAGCTGCAATTATTATGCCTGATTCTCTTGTTTTTAAAATTTTAGTTTAATAGAAAAATGTTTAATTAAAAAAAGATCAAATGTCATTTGAACAAGTGAACAGTATAGAATGAGTTTTCAGAAAGTTAAACTGTAAGTTGTAACAAATGGCTATATAAAATCCCTTGTGTTTCAGGGAGGAAAACATCACACGCCAGGGCCTGTCAAGGGGTTGGGGGCAAGCGGAGGGGGAGCATTAGAACAAATACCTATGCATATGGGGCTTAAAACCTAGGTGATGGGTTGATAGGTGCAGCAAAGCACCATGGCACACATATACCTATGTAGTAAACCTGTACATTCTGCACCTGTATCCCAGAACTTTATGTAAAATAAAAAAATTAAAAAATAAATTAAAAAAAGAAGGAAGAACTATTACAAAAAAAAAAAAATCCCTTGTGTTTGAAACAGTGATTGAAGTAGTGTATTTCAATAGCTTTACGCAGATGTTCTAGAACGAACTTTTTTTCTTTACAAATCAAAGAAAACTTCAGTTGAAAGAGTGGCACCTTTTTGCTTTTTTTTCCCATCAAAATGCATCTGTACATTAGTGAAGCGCTTTAACGATCTTCACTGTGCACGATTACAAAGTGCTCTATTATATGCAAGTACCATGGAGGTAAATAGCAGTTTTCATGACTGTAAATTTCAAACTTTCTCCCTTTAAAAAACATATCAGTGATTCTACTGCACATCAAGATACTTAGATTAGAGTGAAACCATTTTCTGATTCTCAAAAGGTAGTAACGTTTTGTTATATTTGTGATTTGAGCTACTTCAAAACAGCTAGAGCAGCTAATTATTCCTCTGAGCCTACGGGATGGGAGAATTTTGCAGGGAGATAAACACAGGTTATTATTATTTTATTTCTTTTCCCTTGACTACCAGGTATGAGTGACTGTCAGAGAACACTCATGATATGTCATCTTCATTGCCCATGCACATCTACATTTTTGGAAACTCTAGAAGCTTCTGAAATTTCGAAATTCAGAGAAGTTTGGCTCTGGGTTTCAAGTAAATTGGACACCTTACGCCAGTGATTCTGGGATTAGAGGCCCATGTTCTTGGATGACGAGCATTTGGGAATGAAGAATATACAATAAATACCATCTGATCTTTAGCAGAGAGAGTCAGGTCACGAGCTCTTAATCAGACAGGCATGGCTTAAATTTCTACCTCTGATATTTTCTTGAGTAAGTTACTTAAGCTTTCTAAACTTTATTTTTCTCATCTTTATAATGGGGGTAATGAGACCTCCTTCGCGGGGTCACTGTGAAATTTAAATATACAAACGCATGCGTATACATACACACACAATTATTTGGCGATGTTAGTATGTTTAGTTCCTGGCAGTGAGCTTAATAAGTGGCAGTTATTTTTCTTATTAAAGCTAAAGAGCTTTGCCCAAACATCTATAGCGACCCAAATAAATAAGTGTTCTACTCAAATGAAATACAAAAATCCAAACAAAAAATTGTGATTGCCTCAGTTAAAGTGAAATGGAGGAAAACAACACTTCAGTTCCTTTGGGCCAGGTTCCTTCTGTGGGCCTAGTACAGTGTGAGCTGATTGGTCTTTCCTATCTGGGCATTTAGGAAAAATATCTGACTCTAGAAGAGTTTTCTTAAATTTTTTTTTTTTTTTTTTTTGAGATGGAGTTTCACTCTTGTTACCCAGGCTGGAGTGCAATGGCGCGATCTCGGCTCACTGCAACCTCCGCCTCCTGGGTTCAGGCAATTCTCCTGCCTCAGCCTCCTGAGTAGCTGGGATTACAGGCACGCGCCACCGCGCCCAGCTAATTTTTTGTATTTTTAGTAGAGACGGGGTTTTACCATGTTGACCAGGATGGTCTCGATCCCTTGACCTCGTGATCCACCCACCTTGGCCTCCCAAAGTGCTGGGATTACAGGCATGAGCCACCGCGCCCGGCCCCCTTAAATTTTTTTTTTTTTAACTTTCCAAACATCTGCATAAAATACTGTTCATTGGCCATTGGTAGAATCTAATTGCATTTAGATTGCTGAATAAAAACCACGTAGAGGAAAATGACATTCTGGGTGAAAGCATAGGATCAACTGGATTGTTTCAATAAGTTTCATCTATTGTCAGAGGAATGAGTGAAGGGTTCTAGCTGCAGTTGTGAGACTGTAAAAACCATTTAAAGCACGTCAACATGTTAGAATTTATTTGCATCGTTCAGAGAAGGGGAAACAAGGAAGAATTAAAGCTTATTATTATAGTGTGACTTGGCTATTTTTCTATTGTTTGAAAATAACTTTAAGATGCAGAGATTTTTTGTTTTTGAGGTCTGTTTTGTTCACCTTTTTCTAAAAGATGCACCCATGCTCACTAAGTGGTAGGTGATGACCATTTGAAGTGGGATTTAAAGTCTTATGTAAAAAATGATGTAACCCCACAATAGTAAATAACATTTAAGGAGATTTTGCAAAGGACTTTATTGAAACAAAGAGAGACATGAATCCAGAAAGTACACTTAAACAAAATGTAAAATACAAGACAAGCAGATCTAGTTTTCATTCTATCAATATGCACAAAGCCCTGTAGTAATTACACAGTAAAACATTTGCCATTGGCATGGCCCTAAGGTGTTTGCATTTGGATTGGGGAATTTTGGATCTTGTCTTATCAAATAAACTTTTCTAACAAAATCTGGTTGACTTGAGCAAAACGTCTGCTATACAATGGGAAAACAAGAATCTCAAACGTTAGAAAGAATTCATCTTTGTGGATTTAATTGCCATTGACAGAAAAAGGCCATTGGACTGGAAAGATAATCACTGTTCAGTCAGAAAGCATTATGTAGTTTGAAATTAAGGAAAAAAATTCTATTATGTTAAAACAGCTGGAAAATGAAATCTAATAAAGAAAATATTTAATTTAAGTGATTTACTTTATTTCATTTTATGTTTTTTGGTCAGTGAACTTTTTCACTGCAAATGTGACATGTATGACTAAATATCACATGTCTGGGACAGGTAGAAGCTGATACTTATTGATAAATGTCAATCTTGGGAGAAAAATATAACAGATCTACTGCTTTTAAGTTTATTGCCTTTCCATGCCAATCCAAGTTTTTTTTGACATGACATAAGAAGAACTCTAGTCCATCTTACCTACAGGCTGGGGAAAGTTATTCTCTGGGAGGGCATTTTTTTTTCTTTTATTGCATTTTAGGTTTTGGGGTACATGTGAAGAACATGCAAGATTGTTGCATAGGTACACTCATGGCAGTGTGATTTGCTGCCTTCCTCCCCTTCACCTATATCTGGCATTTCTCCCCATGCTATCTCTCCCCAACTCCCCACCCCCCGCTGTCCCTCCCCTATTTCCCCCCAAGAGACCCCAGTGTGTAGTGCTCCCCTCCCTGTGTCCATGTGTTCTCATTGTTCAACACCCACCTATGAGTGAGAACATGCGGTGTTTGATTTTCTGTTCTTGTGTCAGTTTGCTGAGAATGATGGTTTCCAGGTTCTTCCATGTCCCTACAAAGAACATGAACTCATTGTTTTTGATGGCTGCATAATATTCCATGGTGTATATGTGCCACATTTTCCCTGTCCAGCCTGTCATTAATGGGCATTTGGGTTGGTTCCAGGTCTTTGCTATTGTAAACTGTGCTGCAATGAACATTTGTGTGCATGTGTCTTTATAGTGGAACGATTTATAATCCTTTGGATATATATTCAGTAATGGGATTACTGGGTCAAATGGAATTTCTATGTCTAGGTCCTTGAGGAATTGCCACACTGTCTTCCAAAATGGTTGAACTAATTTGCACTCCCACCAACAGTGTAAAAGTGTTCCTATTTCTCCACATCCTCTCCAGCATCTGTTGTCTCCAGATTTTTTAATAATTGCCATTCTAACTGGCATGAGATGGTATCTCAATGTAGTTTTGATTTGCATTTCTCTAATGACCAGTGATGATGAGCATTTTTTCATATGTTTATTGGCCTCACGTATGTCTTCTTTTGTAAAGTGTCTGTTCATATCCTTTGCCCACTTTTGAATGGGCTTGTTTGTTTTTTTTTCTTGTAAATCTGTTTTAGTTCTTTGTAAATTCTGGATATCAGCCCTTTGTCAGATGGGTAAGCTGCAAAAATTTTTCCCATTCGGTTGGTTACCAATTCACTCTAATGACTGTTTCTTTTGCCGTGCAGAAGCTGTGGAGTTTGATTAGGTCCCATTTGTCTATTTTGGCTTTTGTTGCCAATGTTTTCGGTGTTTTGGTCATGAAGTCCTTGCCTACTCCTATGTCCTGAATAGTTTTGCCTAGCTTTTCTTCTAGGGTTTTTATGGTATTAGGTCTTATGTTTAAGTCTTTGATCCATCTGTAGGTAATTTTAGTGTAAGGTGTCAGGAAGGGGTCCAGTTTCTGCTTTCTGCATATGGCTAGCCAGTTTTCCCAACACCATTTATTAAACAGGGAATCCTTTCCCCATGGCTTTTTTTTTTCAGGTTTGTCAAAGGTCGGATGGTTGTAGATATGTTGTGTTGCCTTCTGGGAGGGCATTTTGATCCAACAGTCCACTCGTTAAGATATTCAGATAAGATTACACGGGGTGGCACAACTTATTCCTTCCTGAGTTAGTCTTCAGCCTCCTCCCAAACTGAAGCTGCCATGGTGGCTTGGTTTTGTGTTTGTGGAGTCTGCTGTTTCTTCTGTTTTCTTTGTTTCTTCTTCCTCCTTCACGAACTTTTCAAAGCCCAGCCCACCAGCCCTGGGCAGACTGTTCCTTTCACCCACAACCCTTATGCCCAAGGACTGTGGCAAGTAAGATTTTTCCTGGTGGGTATATGATTTTAAAATATTGTGACATATTGATGTAGACATAGTCCAGATCTCAGTGAGCTTTTCTTCCTTCCCAAGAGTCTGGGGTTCTGCACTCTAAGACCAGGCTGTATCTCTTGTATCCATATATATAGATCTAAATGAAGTCCCTGGGTGAATATGATTTTAGCTATTGTCTTTCTATGTTTGTCCTGCTACAATCAAATACCAGAGATTAGGTCATTCATAAAGAATAGGAATGTATTTCTCACAGCTCTGAAGACTGTGAAGTTCAAGATCAAGGTGCCAGCAAATTTGGAGGCTGGCAAGGGCTGCTCTCTGCTTCTAAGACGGCACCTTGGAAGGGGAAGGGGCAAAAGGGGCAAAAAGAGGCAAAAAGGGGCAAGTGCTTCCTTGCACCTCTTTTATATGATCACTAGTTTCATTCACAAGAATTCTATCCTCGTGACTTAATTATCTCCTAAAGGCTCTACCTCTTAGTACTGTCACATGGCAATAACGTTTCAACACATGAATTTTGGGGGACATTCAGACCATAGCAACTATGAACTCTATCATTCTCCAATTTCTTTTCTCTAGAAAACATCCAGTCATCATAGTTAGGGGCTTTCTTAACTCCTCTGCTTACTCATTCATTTGTTCATCTTGCTTGTATAGGTGCCGGATACTTGTGTTTGTCACTGGGAATACAAGAATTACTAAGACATGGTTCCTCCTCTCAAGAAGGAGCTATTTTTAAACTATAGCTCAGTAGTGCTATAGAATGAAGTTAGATGTCCTCAGAATTTCCCTGAGACCATCTGCCGTAGCCTCAGATCTGCTCACTACACTTTTGCTTCTTCCCATCAGCATCACCCCCGACTCCCCTGTGGGAGCTCCAGTGTGCACTCGCTGTCTCCTAATTCACAGTGATGCAGGCAAATATCTAGGCTGAGGTATTTGGAGAGAAGATAAGAAATTGTAGGCTGGTCACAGTGGCTCACACCTGTAATCCCAGCACTTTGGGAGGCCAAGGTGGGTGGATCACCCTGAGGTCAGGAGTTCGAGACCAGCCTGGCCAACGTGGTGAAACCCTGTCTCTACTAAAAATACAAAAATTAGCTGGACCTGGTTGTGGGTGCCTGTAATCCCAGCTTCTTAGGAGGCTGAGGCAGGAGAGTCACTTGAACCAGGGAGGTGGGGGTGCAGTGAGCTGAGATTACACCACTGTACTCCAGCCTGAACAACAGAGTGAGATTTTGTCCCAAAAGAAATAAAAAAATAATAAAAGAAAAGAAAAAGAGAAAAAAAAAAAAAAAAGGAAAAGAAATTGTAGAAGTCTGTGTCTAATGGCCTTTATTTACTCTGTGAAGTAAGAGGCAAATTCAGTGCTCAGAGGCAGGGCAAAGATTAAGAAAAGTGGTAAAGTGTAACCCAGGTCACTCTCTCAGCATCTCCTTTTTCACTAGCTTCATCGGCCCCTCAAAAAGCCCCACAAGTATTTCAGGGGTTACCAGAATGTCTTTCACATGCCTAGAGACACATCCACACCCCCTCCCACTTCTGGTGTCAGGGTGTCCATGAAGCCCTCTAGGTACTCACCACGGGTTTCTGCCAGTGGCCTGAGTGGGTGGCTGCTGCATGACCGGGTACAAAGGTCACTCCTCTGATGCTCTGCAGCTCCTCTGGGCCACAGTCCTTCCCAGCATGTTTTCTGACCTGCAGCCACCTGGCTTCTCTGAGTCTCTGTGCTGGCATGCTCCAAAGCTGTGTTACCCAGGCCTTGATGGGCTGCAATATGAAGAGAAACTGTTCTTTCAGTTTTTACTCACAGCCTCTTTCTCCCTTGTTTACAGACAAGCAGCAAGGACTGGCTTAGGGATACAAGGACACATTTAAATAATACCCACCTGCTATTCTCAGAATCCCTGAGAATGCGCCGATGATTAAGGCTCTGTTATTAGCTCAACATCATTGTGCCTTACAAGAAATCTGCTTGAAGGGATCTGCAGATTCCCCCATTCCCCTCACTATGCAGTCTAAACCCCAGCTATGGACACAATTCAAGCCACCATATCAGCAGATTTCAAAATCCCCTTTCTTAATAGCTCTATGAGATCATGACAGCAGAATAGACTTAAGTTAAACTCCATGCTGGGAAAGTTTTTAGAATAACTGCTTAGGGGATGGAAAATACACTAGACTAGAGAAAGTTATAAAATTGCTAACCTCCACTCATTGCTCCTTGGAGACTGGAGCCCTTCGATTGGAGTGGTACCATCCAGCATCTGTGTGTAATTTGTCCAGCAGTGTCGAGCAGCCCAGAAAGAAAAGAGACGTTTGAATTGAATCAGGGATGAGGGTGAGCAGGGCTGGTAAGGCATAGTAATACAGAGTGTGAGAGACGATTGAGAAAGTTTCTAACGTTGTTGTTGGAATGATTGATTTTGAAGCTCAGCTGGGTGGTGCAGAGAAGGAAGAGGAGGCTGGGAGAGTTGAGAGAGTCATTTGTTTAGTAAGTATTTATTGATCACTGACAGACAATGTGCTGGGCAGGTACAGGTATAGGTTGTGGGAAAACTGTCCTTGAGAAGTTTGCAGGCAGGTTGGAGGGGTAGGTAATCATAGTATAGAGCGCTAACTGCTACAATAGTCTCGGGAGTTGTAGAAGTAGACAAGAGAAGCATCTGACTTTTCCAACTGCTGGAGGAAATGCATCTTGGAAAAGCATCTGAGTTTTTCAAGACCGCTGGAAACAAGCACCTGATTTTTCTAAGACAGCACCTACATGAGGACCTGGGAGGCAGGAAGGAGTTAGCCCAGGGGAAGGGGAAAGAAGGTGTGCTCAGGCAGAGATACCAGCTTGGGTGAAATCTTGGAGGTCAGCACAGGGTGACTGGAGTGTAGTGGACTGAGGAGGAGCAGGGAGGGAGGGCTGGCCAGATTGGCAAGGGCTATGTCAGGAAGGGCCATGGGGTATTGTAGGATACTTTCACAGCTCTCTACACAGCTCAGTTCCTGGTGGCCACCACGAAACTGCCTCACCATCAAGGGTAGAGTCCAGAATTCAAGTTCATGTCATGTTGATTGTGCTTTGCTAGTCACAGCTGATCAGACCTAAGGATCATGGTCCAGAATATTCACATAGGGGAAGAGAAATCTATTTGCAGAAAGACAGAATTGAATCAGCATGTGCAGAGAGAAGGGGAGGGAGAGATAGGGCCTGAGAAATGTATTAAGGTTCTAACTTCCTTTAGCTCTTGAGCTCTGGGGCATTCCCCTGTGTCCTTGTAATTAATTCTTCCGTTTTGCATCCATTTGTTTCTTGCAACCAAAGGAGCTTTGACAAGGCTCACTAGGAAGGGAACATATAATGAGAGGGGGACTCTGTGGAGTAGCCACGTGGATAGAGTTGCTTCATGTCTCAAATTGTCAATCACAGACTTTTCTAGTCTGGGCTGTGGTTTCCTTGGTTGTACCAGTGTCTTCAAAGCTTACTAGGCATTTTTTTTTTTTTTAAATCTAGGTCAGGGGTCAGCAAACTACAGCATGTGGGCCAAATCCAGACCAACGCTTATTTTTGTAAATAGAGCTTTTATTCAACACAGAGACGCCCATTTCTCACATGTTGATTTCTCTGAGTTCCATGTTGCCATACCCGTGATTCCTTTCTAGACACATTTTTTAGATTTCCCATAATCCTTTGCATTCTTGTTTCCATGCCAGCTCCTTTTTTTCTCACTCTAATTGTCCAGTATCTTGAGCTTGTCAGCTTTAGATGGAAGAATTGGAATCTACCTCCCACCAAGACCTAAACAGTGAGGAGAAATTCCTCAAATAGGAAAAATTTTTGAGTTGCAGTGTCAAGAAATGACAAATATCCGCGGCTGAGGGATGAGGTGGACTTTTCAGAACCCTGGAGCTTTGGAAGAGGCAGCACGAAGTAGTGGGAATCAGGAAGTCTGTCTCTCCATACACACTGTCTCACTAACAGGCTGGAGACCTTAACAGTCACGCAACCCCCTGGAGCTTCAGTTTTCCTGTCTACAAAATCTAGGGGTTTCTAGATTTTTAATTTCATTGACCAATAACATTTCAAAGGGAATTTTTGGAATTAACATTGATATCTTGCCAGTTTGTTGCTTTGTTAAGTAAAGATATTATTTAAAATAACTACCAACTACTATCACCATCATTTTATGCAATGAAATATATTTTATACGAAAAATTAGGAAGGATATCATCTCAGAATAATAATTAATTCTTTAAATTGAGTTAGCTTTTAAGAAAACTTACTATGTTGGTTTTTTTCTTTTTTCCAACTTCACGTGGACCAGTGAAAGTCTGGCATTACACCATGGGTGTAGGGGGAACCGTCAGTAATGGTTTTTAAGGTCTTTCCCAAGATCGTGATTCTTTGATTTTCTGAAGGCTGGAGAGAGGAGTTTTTGTCTAAGCTTGTTATGACACTGGAAACTTTTTCCTTTTGATCCCTTAGCAAACCTTTTTTGGATGACCTTCAGTGCATGGCAGAAACTTTACCTTTTAATGTGTATTTAAAAAAACCCTTGAATGGTAAGAGGAAGCCTTTGGGACAAGGAACATCCACCTCTTTATGTTGCTTAATGTTACTGTCGTAGAGGTGCCCAGAGACCTTGGCAGTGAGTGCATTTCTATAAATCTTAAAAATCAACCAACTAATCAATATGTAGGGAAGGCTGATAGATGTGCACTTAGGGGACTAAATGCCTGGTCCAGGTTGGCCTTTCTCAACGTTGAGGAGACATTGATGCTTGGGGATGTGCAAAGTTTCATAAAAATTACCTTTGTCTTGCTCTCCTTCCCACACTTTTCAAAATCATACGTTTTGAAGGCAGCTGGGGTCAAGGGAATTGAATATGCACATTTTGAAGGAAAGAAACCACTGATGCGTCTATAAATACTGAGGAATAATAACAGAAGGGAAAGGAACACGTTATTGACTGTGGCTAAAAGTACAGCAAGGGATAATGGGCCTCATCAGACCAAGGGAAACTTTTCAGCTCTAAGGATCCAACTTCCTAACAGTGGGGCGTGTGGAGAGGCGTGTAGGTAGAGGCCCTTTTCTGGGTGTTCAGATCTGAGCACATGAGAAATGGAAGGGTTTAGTACCTTCTGTTTACCACCTTAAGAAGGGTGAGCAGCACTGCCTTCACCAGGGGTTTCTATGGCCATGGGGGGTTGTGTTTTTTTTCAGCCCTGAGATCTGTAACTGTGTTTTTCTTCGTAGATTTTGTGTTGACTCATTTTGATTGCTCCATTTCCTTCCTCTCCTTACAGTCCTATGTCTGTGGTTGTCTCTTTTTAAAGTTTTATCTTGCAGGTGCCCTTTGTTTTCCTCTTTGTGTGGACCATTTTGGTTCATTGTGTGCATGCCCATGTTGTTTACTCTGATGCTTTTCCTTGAAACTCCTCTTGCTGGCTTGAACGCTTAGCTATTGGAACACAAATAACTACCCTGTGAAAGAGATCTTTCTTTTATCCACTTTCCCAAGTTACCTGTTGCTGTTCTTTGGAAAGTTCATGATTAGGAGCAGTTGTTCAGTCATGTTGTCTTCATACATGAAGGATGGTTTGTTATATGTGGTATATTTATCTTGGGACTGTGAGGTAAAAAGACTGATTCCTAAACAAATATACCAGCATTTACAGACAACAGCAACAAAAACCAACACCAAGCTATCCCTCACCATAGCCTCTTTATTCCGATACTACTGCCAATAGTAATAAATAAATAAATAACAACAAAATAAAATAAAATAAAATTCTGGGCTGGGCGCAGTGGCTCATGCCTGTAATCCCAGCACTTTGGGAGACAGAGGCAGGCAGATCACCTGAGGTGAGGAGTTCAAAACCAGCCTGACCAACATGGTGAAACCCCATCTCTACTAAAAATACAAACAGCTGGTCTGGTGGAGCCATCTCTACTAAAAATACAAACAGCTGGTCTGGTGGCGCACATTTGTAGTTCCAGCTACTTGTGAGGCTGAGGCAGAAGAACTGCTTAAACCTGGGAGGTGGAGGTTGCAGTGAGCCGAGTTGACACCTGGTGAGTTCAGCCTGGGCGACTGAGCAAGATCCTGTCTCAAAAAAAAATCTGGACTCATCCATTGGAATTACCCTTACAGTTTATCATAAATCACATCAGAAAATTGGTCTCGTTACTTCATAACCCCACTATTTAATTAGACCTGAGATTATATTACCATTTTCCTCTATCTTATTTAATTAAATCTGCTTCATATGCATTTAAATGCAGGATGACAGTGAAAATATTTTACAACACAGGCCAGTCAAAACAGATGATAGTTATCAGCAGCAAATATACCTGTAGCAATGTATAGCCTCTGAATATCAATTTCACTTTATGCTATTCCAAAACATTTTGAAACATACAAATGCCCCTCTTGTGGTGAACTTTGATCATTTTTGACTTTCCAATGTTCGACTTTAGCTGCTCTTTTGGGAGACTTCCCCACCGTGTGTGGTTTTCATGATATAGTGGGTAGTGTCCAGCCCCTCACTACTCATGGTGAGAGGTTATCAGAAGAATTTTTTCTTTCCCTACTTCTGAGTTCCAAGAACATGGCAGAATCTTGGCTATCAGATGCTCTCTTGAGCAAATCCAAACAAGGCAAAGAGATTTTAGTGCCCATTCAAGATGGAGGCCGTATCAGTGTCTTGGGGCAGGGAGCAATAGCATGGGATGGTGGTGGTGAAAGTATTTTAAATAGACTATTTCTACTAAAAGATAATTGTGTTTCCTGTATTTCCTAATTCCCTCTCAATACATTTTCGCTTTCTACTTAAGAGAGTCAGAAATGATTTCTGTAACTTATGGCTAAAGGCATCTATTTAGGATCTACAAAGTTGGCCTCAGACTTTAAGAGCAAGTAGGCATTTTTGTTAATTGACAAAACCAATTCTGAGAAATACCTTGGCAGGCTAGGATATGGACCCAAACCAACACTAAAAATATAAATCAATGTCGTGAGGCCGAGAACTGACTAGCAGCAGTTCATGTGACAGTGTTCTGTAGTTTTATTTTGACCGAAGTTCAATGAGGGCATCCCAAGAGGTGACATGACTACTATCTTTGGGAAAAAGGTGGTCCCAGGAGCCTTTTATTTGGTTCTGTATATTAAATCCCTTGACAGTATTTAAGCTGCCTTGTATATCTAGCTTTGTGAGATTAAAGAGACAGTACAAAGGAGATGACAAATAAGGAAGAAAACTTATTTCTATTAATTAGACATTTGTAGGATAGTACTTCATTTTTATAAATTGATTTTATATGATTTTAAAAATTTTATCTTCCATAAAGCTACCACTTATTGGCTCTACTTCGCACATTGGGAAATAAACTTAGTGAGCTAGGGTACTTGCTCAAGGTAACACAGCTTGTATGTGATAGAGCTAGGATATGAACTCAAGACTTTTGACTTCAAACCTCATACTATCATACAACATCATCCTTTGATTGGAAATTTATGTGTCTGTATCAACCCTATGGGATTTATTGAACTCAGGAATTGATGTTTGAATGCTGGATGTTGTAAATGACATCAATACATTTGAATGGTATAAACTGATGTCAAAATACTGTCCTGGGTTTATCTGAAACCTCTACTGATTTGTAATAAGAAGTGCACTATGATAGACTGGACAGAAAAAATGTGGCACATATACACCATGGAATACTATGCAGTCATCAAAAATGATGAGTTCGTATCCTTTGTAGGGACATGGATGAACCTGGAGACCATCATTCTCAGCAAACTGACACAAGAACAGAAAATGAAATACCGCATGTTCTCATTCATAGGTGGGTGTTGAACAGTGAGAACATGTGGACACAGGGAGGGGAGCACTACACACTGGGGTCTGTTGGGGGGAATAGGGGAGGGACAGCGGCGGGTAGGGAGTTGGGGAGAGATAGCATGGGGAGAAATGCCAGATATAGGTGAAGGGGAGGAAGGCAGCAAATCACACTGCCATGTGTGTACCTGTGCAACAATCTTGCATGTTCTTCACATGTACCCCAAAACCTAAAATGCAATAAAAAAAAGAAGTGCACTAATTTCTAGTTTCCAGTTCTACATATAAAGAACTTGGAACTTGTTACTCTCATCTTTATAAAGAAAACACTGAGGAAACTGAAAATCAGCAACTCTTCTAAGAACCATCAAAGAATTGAGGTCATAGGGAAAATTGTTGCCCTGAAAACTGGAGAGAGAGGTGGATACAAAGAATTATCAGAGTAGAGCCTGCAGCTGGAACCAGTATCAGTGAGAACGCTTTCAACTGTAATAGATAAATTGCTGGATGTTCAGTATGGAGGAGCTTGAGAGTTAAAAAATTGCCAATCTTGTGGAGACATACTATCATGATTTTTACCTCCAGGATCCCCAGTAGATTCTTACTGTGAAGACTGGAGAAAAATCCCCTATGCTTCTTGCTGGGAGATGGGGAGAGTAATAATTTGGAAATAGCTCAAACCTCTTTGTTCTCCTTAGGAATGCCTACCTTCAATGGAAACTATTTGACCAGACCCTAACCAACTAGGGAAAAGGGAAGGGAAATACCCAATTTCAGCCTCCCCTAGCCTTTAATGTGACACAGGGGATAAACTCAACTCTGGCTTACTAAAAGACTGAGACCTAATCACAGGATTAAAAAAACACTTTTCCAACAGGCTTCTGTATAATAACAAGAGATGACAATGGAAAGAACTACACATCTCAGACTTTATTTAAGAGGCAGTCTCCTCTTAAATAAAGGAAAACATAAAGACAACAGAGAGACGAAAACAGGGACATTAGAGGAAATTTTAGCCTCTGACAACACAGTTATGGCAAACAGTCAACACCGCCTATACTCTAGCCAGTAAAACATAAAACCTCACACTAATGGTTCATTTACCTCAGTTCTTTTTACTTGTTACATCATGTCTGGCTTTCAACAAAAGGTTACAAGCCATGCTAAAAGGTAACAAAACAAAATGAAGAAGAAACACAGTAAGTATGAGAACCAAATTTACTTAAGGCAGATATATTATAATTATCAATATGGAATTTAAAATAATCATAATGAATATGCTAAAGGCTCTGATAGAAATTGTGGACAACATGCAAGAAAAGATGGGTTATGTAAGCAGAAATGGAAACACAAAGAAAGAATCAATAGAAAATGATAGAAATTAAAAAAATGTAACAGAAATGAAGAATGCCTTTGATGGCTGAGGGAACAATTAGTGAGTGGACATGGCTGAGGAAAGAGTTAGTGAGTTTAAAGATGTGTCAATAGAGACTTGTCAAACTGAAAGGTAAAGAGCAAAAGGAATAAAAAAATGAAACAGGATCCAAGAATTGTAGGACAATGACAAACAGTGCAACACATGTGTAATGGGAATACCAGAAGGAAAGAGAGAAGGGAACAAAAAAATATCCTAAGTAAGAATAGCTGAGAAATTTTCAAAGTTAATGAGAAATACAAAACCCAGATCCAGAAAGCTTAAAAAAAATAAGCAGAATAAATACTAAAAATCTACTTTGACATTGTGTCCATAATCATTTTTAAATTTCAGAAAATAAGTGAGAGAAAATCTTGAAAGCAGCCAGAGGGAAAAAATACCTTACCTATAGAGGAGCAAACATAAGAATTATATCAAACATCTCACAGAATCGAAGAGAGTGAAAAGAGGGTTAAGTTAAATATTTTAAGAGTCAAAAGAGAAAACTACCAACTTAGAATTCTGGATGCAGCAAAATTATCCTTTGAGAGTGAAGAAGAAATAAACTTTCTCAGATAAACAAAAAGTTAGGGAATTTGTCACCAGTAGACCTGCTTTGTAAGAAATGTTGAAATAATCCTTTAGAGACAAGGAAAATAACATAGGCCAGAAACCCAATCTACATAGCAAAAAAGCATTAGAAAATGAAAAAAAAGAAGGAAAAAATAAAGTATTTTATTTTTCTTATTCTTAATTGATCTAACATAATAATTTCCTCAAAATAATGTTAACAATTTAGCCAGTTATTATATTATGTTGGTGCAGAAGTGATTGCTGTTAATTAATTACTTTTAATTAAAAGTAATGGCAAAAACAGTAATCACTTTTGCAGCAACCTTTAGCTTATGGATAAGTGACCTGACTGTTAGCAACGTTATAAAGGAAGAGAGGGAAGAGTTGGGAATATCATGTTATAATGTGCTTGGACTACCTGTAAAACAGTATTATGTGAAAGGAGACTTGAATTAATTGTAAGTATAGATTATAAACCCTAGGGCAAATACTAAAGAAATTAAACAAAGGGTATAATTGGTATGCTAAGACAGGTGAGAAAATGGAATTATGTAAAATGGTCAGTTAAAACTAGAGGAGGCAGAAAAAGAGGGGAGGACAAAAAAACCCTCAAAAAACAAAAAACAAAGCAACAAAGAACAAGAGTAATGAATAGAAAACAGTTACCAAAAACGGTTACCAATGTGGTCAATATGAATCCAACTATATCAATAACCATTTTAAATGTGAATGGCTTAAATATCCCAAGCATGTATTAATAAATGTTTCTAATCTGTCAATAATTAGACATCCAAGTCTTCTCTTTTCCTCTTCTTGATAAAGGCTCTGATAATTATGCCAGACTGATGGCATTGCTATTAGCAGTTGTGGGTAAGGGAGTTAAACTGGAAGAGAGTTAGAGAAGATCCTGGGCAGGACTTGAGATGCCACGTAAGCTCCCCTGGGGTGGTGGTATGCATCATAAGGTCAGCAGATTTTCCCAAATATTTAGAGTCCACACCCATTGGTTTTTTCCTAGTAGTCCCCAAGAACCACAGTCACTAAGGGACCTGGCGGTTGTATTGTACTTCAACTTGGTTAGCATTTGTTGAGCGTTAGTATATACCCAGTGTGGGTGCTGGACAGTAAAAAAAAAATGAATGAAACATGGTCTCTGGCATCACAGAGTTGAGCCCATGGACATAAAAACAAATTACTTAAAGGATGCTGGATGTCATGATTTATGAACTGTCTAGTTTTTATATTCAGAGGTTAAAAACCAGTAATGTTTAGATATAACTTCTGTGTTTATTTAAACTTTAAAAACTGTTGCCGATATTTATAAATTAGGAAAATTCACACATAAATATTTTCTGCCTCTCTTGAAAAACTAAAAGATTTGACAGCACTGACTCTGCCTTCCCACACAGCAGTGTTAGGTCAGAACTGAGCCACAACTGTGTCCTTTCAATAAGGCATGCATTCTTCTGTTCACTGCACTCTCCACCACTCCCTATTGTCTCTGGCACCAAGGCCAAGTGTCAGGTACTTTTTATCCTTGTGTTTATACTGTTTTCCTGGGTCCATTTTTCTCATATACATTACCTTCCAGCCTTGTTAGTGTTACAGTTTATGACCACTATTACAATATTACTTTTCACAGAAAGCAATATATAAATAAGAGTCAAATATTGAGTAACATAAAATAATTATTCATAAATATTTATAAATATTGATAAATCATAAATTTATTTTATTAAACAATTAATATTTACTTAATTAAATTTTATTTACTGATTGATATTTAATGGAAGTCAAGTTTGTGCCCATTGTCCTTAACATCACCCCATCCAAAGCGTACCGAAGTAGAGATTTCCTCTCACATTGAGACAGCCAGGTGGAAAGGGCTCCCTGGCAGAGCCTCTGACCAACCTGTGCACTGGGAGGAATGCGCACTGAGGTGGAGCCACAGAAGTTCACTCCGTTTGCAGTGGGGAGGAGCTCGGCCCCTCCTCTTCCTGGGTGGTACCTGGAATTCAATCTGTGAGGTGGGAAGCCTACACTAGCAGGTACTCTGCCCTTGCAGAGAGTCCCTGTTCCCCCTTTTTCCCTTTTGGCTAGTAAATCCCATTATTATAACCCTTCAAATCTTCTGTGAACCTAAATTTTCATGGCCATGGGACAAGGTCCCAGTCCTTAGCTGAACTAAGGAAAAGGGAAAAGTCCCGCAACAACACGGAGAGCCCTCAAATCATAGACAAGGGATCAAAATTTCCTTCTCTCCCTCTCTGATCTAGAGAGGAAGCCTAAACCATTTTGGTATCTTTTATCATAGTTTTTCTGAGAAAAGTTGTCATCCTTTGGATTCTGGACATTTATCATCTCTCAAGCTGGCCAGGTGCCTCCTTTCTCATAGAGGTCTGGGCAGGGAGGGACTGGTGTTGAGCACCTGCAGCTGAAGGAAGCACGGTGGTAGCTCCAGGGGTTCCACTTGCAATTTGGGTTCTCATGCTTTGTTCCACCAGGATTAGACTGGAAAGATAAAAAGCCACTGTGGCAGGTGCTGAGAGAAACACAGTGATGATGGGAAGAAAGATGGAGGAGTATCACAAGAGGAGTGCCTGGGCAATGCCGTGGGCACTTAGATCAAGGAGAACCTGCTCTTAGGCCTGGCAGTCCAGACAGACCCGCTCTTGTACCTTCATTCTCCCTCTTGCTAGCTGTGAGACTTTGGGCTAGGGACTTAGGCTTGCTCTGCTTCAGTTGCCTTTTCTGCAAAAGAAAGAAGCGAGTATCTTCTGGAGTTGTGTTATAGATTAAATGTGGGCAAACCCTTTATACAGTGCCTGGCATGTTGCAATTATGCAGTCAACAAATGGTAACTATTATTGTTGCAGTTGTAACCAGTATAGGGTTGCCAGATAAAAAACAAGATTTCCAATTATATTTGAATGTCAGATGAACAATGAAAATTTTTTAGTGTAAATATGCCTGAAATAGTGCATGAAATATTCATCTGAAATTCAAATTCAACTGGGTGT